GTCTCATGGCGTATGGATGTCTGTCTTTTTTGTTTTTTCAGACCATTTTTTTGCTGGATCTTTGTGATCTTCCTCTGGAGCTTGTGAGAGTTTGGCCGTTTTATCTATTCTTCTTCTGATTTATCGTTCTCCTGCGAGAGTTGATCTTTTAGAGCCATGGCTTTGTTTGATCAAACTGATCCGCCAATTGAAATATCATTTTTACCATTTTCATCCTTTTTTCGGTTGTAGGTCACCGATTTCCTGATAACTTCGTACTGGGGTGCTTGAGCATATCCCCTAATTCTCGCAAAGGGCTGCACTTCCATCTTTGGCAGCGGATAGCTCCCCCTATATTCCTCGGTCTTGGAACACACGCTACGAATTGTGCATGCTCTCTTATGTCAGGCTTGATCAGGCTTGGGTCCCATTCCAGCTAGGTAAGTAAGCTCTTGTTTCGTCCGTTTTCCCTTTTTATACTTCAGGCCAGTCCAACAAATGATACAATACATTACTTGTGGTCATTTTTAACAGAAGCGAGCAAGAAGAACACAAGATACTTGAATAGTCAATAAATAGCTGTTCTTAATACAATGAAGAATCAATATCAGATATTATCTACAAATCAGACAAGCATATCAACAAACAATAATAAACGACAATGAAAATAACAAGCAACAGGTAACATGGCAAGATAATGGGGGTATAAGTTATAAAGATATCTGCAATGAGGCAATTCAACACAAGAAGCAGATCTAAAGGAACAATTACTTCTCCAATTTCTTCTTCCGCTCAGTAAGGAGAACCTCAATCTTCCGAATCTGAAGAGCAAGACCCTTCTTCTCAGCATTTGCAAGGAGCCACTCCTCCATGCCGCGACGAACATGCCGCATGGAATGCAAGACAGGCAGAATAGGCGCGGAGGACGGACCCGCATCGACTCCGTTCTCGCGTTCGATGCGCTGCCAGCGCTCGGCGCCGGGGTTCAGCAAGAGGTCGAAGACGCCAGTCCAGAGTTCACGGTCCCAGTATCGTTTCAGAGACTCGCGGATGCGATACGTGCGGGATGATGGGTTACCGTCGCTGCTGTCAATGGCAGTTGATTCGACATATTTGCCGAATAACAGGACGTGGATTACGCCGGCAATACCGTACAAATCGATGTGGTGGGTCCAGGGGCGCATCTCACGGATCTCGTTGCACTCGTGGGTACCGGTTTCCCAATCGGCGATGAATTGCACGACTGGCGAGAAGGCTTGCATGTCGATGCCGCGGCCGAAGTCGATCAGGGCTAGGCCCTTTTCTTGCCAGCCATGGGAGCCGCTTGGGGAGTAGTGGACGCTTTCGCGGGGATCGAAAGCCGTTTCTTCTGTACCAAGGTCTAGCAGGGAGAGGGCCTTGGAGAGTGGTTGGTTGGGATTGTGGTCGTCTAGACGGACGAGGCAGTTGTCGGCTTTGATGTCACCGTGGAGGATGCCGTGGGCGTGAAGCGCTTCCACGGTGCGGAATAGCTCGACGGAGAAGAACATTGCTAGGACCTCCTCGAGACCGCCTTCAGAAGTATGATTGGAGTTGATGGCTTCATTTCGAACAATGTTGACAAGATCAAGTATAGTCCCTTGTCCTCGATAATCCTCGACTAGGAAGCTTTCACGTTGATGGACATGCAATTCGTGTGCGCGAACAATGCTATCGGTAGCGCGAGAATGATCCGTAGATTGTCGTAGGCGGCTATATGCTGTGCGAATCATGTAAAACTCCCACGCGCTTGATGGTCCATTTTCGACCTTGACTGCTTCAAAGGGGAACCGGGGAGTATCATAGGCGTTCGACTTTCTCAGTTGGGAAGTTTTTTCATTAGGGCTTGTGCTATCGTCAGAGTCGGAGTCGTAGGATTCAAGACTGTCGACACTCTCGGCGAGATAGACGGGGGCATATGCACCAGCTCCTAGCTCACGTCTTATAATGTAGCTCCGTTCCGCTCCTGGAAATTCGAGGATAGGTGTGTCAAATGCCTCATTCCCGCCACTCTTTGAACGCCTGGTGTTAGTTTTGACGAATTTCTGAATCATAGAAGCATAGTTGCTATCTTCGACATGACCGTGATAACCCGTGTACGTCGCAAGTGGCCTTTCCAGGGAATTGAGAATCGTGTTGCGAATGCCCTTGTCAGTCGGATTGCACTGCGCATCCCTGATTATCGGTTCCCGTCTCCGGAACTTGGGTGCGAGGGCCTTGAAGGCCATGGGACTGAATGGTACATCGGCTGTAGACGCAACAGTGTGATCTCCTTGGTATGGCGTATTTGTTCCCAGTGGACTGGAAAGAAAAAGGTTACCAGCTGGTGATCGAGGCTTCGAAGGCGTTTTAGCGTTATAGATGCTATTTCGAGCGGCCGTTAAAGAAGGAATGGATTCCGTTCGCTCCACAATAGGTGTCATAAAGGGAAGGCGGTTCTGGGCCATGATCGCAGGGTCACGGTAGGTCCCCCATGGAGGCGCATAGTCCTCGGGCATTTCCGGTATGAATCCTTTCCTCTCCGGTGTTCCATGTGTTGAGCTACCTTCTGCTCCATCACTAACCACAGAATGTGAGGTGACTTCAGCATTTTCAAGGTCCGGAATATCACGATCTGGGTTGAACTCTGTCCAATCGCTGCCATCGCCATCGACGCTCTCAGCTCGTGTAGTGTTGGCATAGTCGGTGTCATCATAAGATTTGTCGAACGTTTGGGTCTCCTCGTCTCCGAAGTCGCTCGAGGCCGCTGATATGTGCCCCGTACCTGCACTATCTCCACCACTGGCGCAGTCGTCATCTTCGTAATCGCTGCCGCAGAAGCTATCTGCATCTTGCTCGGTCTCTGCCTTCAATGGCTGATTGAAAATGCTATAGATCTCATCCGTCGCTGCACGAGTGTGCATGGTCATTGTCGGTTCCCGAGTGCTCTTTCGCCGCACCTTTTTGTTATTGGACGGGGAGTCAAACTTCATTTTGACTGCACAGGTGTGTGTGAGTTTAACCTGCTAGAAGAATAGAAAACTGATACCCCTCACCTGTTTGCGTTTGTGTTGTTTCCCCTTTGATCTTGGTGTAACTCGCTTTGCCAGGTTTTCTTCCATGGACTTCGTCTTCATATTGAGATTGAACGTGACTAGCTGTGGTGAGATTTTGGCCTAGATGCTCCGGCAATTCCCCTGGTGAATGAGATTTCCCCAGCAGGGACTCGGTACTTCCTGCGTTCCCAGAGATCTGTTGCAAGGGCTCTTTTTGTTGCTGCCAATTCCTGTCCATCCAACCACGCTTGATGGCCCTGAGCTCTTCGAAACTCATCTCATGTTCAGGGTTGGTGCGGTCGGGGTATACGGATTCCAGGTCGACAAATACACGTTCGCGTCGGCCAGTCCGCGGGTTAATCGCTTCCCTTACGTGATGTTCGGGTACTTGTTTGGGTGGCATTGGTTTTTTGGAAGGAAGATCTGGATTGGACTGAATACATAATAAAACACCATAGGTTCATGCCAGCAATTAGTCCTGTGATCGTAAATATGTGGAGGTCTGAAGAGGGAAAGGGCAGCTGGAATGAAAACTCACCTCGTCCCGGAAGATGGCCATCTTTTGTGTTGGCGCTGCTTTCTTCCCAACCTTCAATGTTTCTCCTGCCCATGGCTTTGCCTCCACTTCGTTCTCCTTCTTGCGGTCCCGCATCGATCCAATGCTTTCCCATCCCTTTGTCGATCCACCAGTTGCAGGGCCCGGCGCAGCAGAGTCAGCGTCTGAGAAGATAGCCATTTTAGGCTTTCCGGACTTGGTTTTTGCGGCACCGCCTGTCTGGGGCGGGGGCCGTGAAGCTTGTAGGTCAGCAGAGGTATCTGATGGCGCGAACGGGTTCATCTTGGCGGCCAGCGCGGGACGGACAGTCGGCAAAGCAGGTGACGAGGGCCCAGTATCTTGTGGACGCTGGTCGTATCGGAATTGAAACTCGCTGTACTTCCGTCCCAATCTCTCGACTGGTCGCGCCTCACGGTCCATACCGAGCCTGTATACCTCATCGGCTTGTGACCATCGACCAGCACCCTCTAGCCAGCCGGCAAATTCCTCATAGAAAAGAGCCAGACTTTCACCGATTTGATGACGCGCAAGGAATGCAAATGTTTCGCGCGGGGCATCGGAGAAGAGTCGAACATAATGAAGCCACAATCGTAGATACCGAGGATCGTTTCTGTAGTGTGATGATGAAAGGAATGACTTTGTTGCCCGTTCCAATAAGGGAAGAAGACCGGATTCTGCGGTTGCTTGTGCGGACGGATACGCGTTCAGGGTCCATTTGACATAACGGTCATAAACATCGAGCGGATCGTCCGATTCTCCTATCGACTGCAATTCACTTTCGAATTCTTGGCGCATAGCATCATTGATAGTTCTGGTGCCATTTGGCGATGGCGAGGGGATCTTGTCGCCGTTGCTGCCGGCTGAAAATATCCGGGCGAGTTCTCTGGCTGATCGGCCACCGGGTAGTGATTGGACGTTTTCCTTCTGTGCTTCGATGATATCGAAATCGACCAATTCATCAGAGGCTGCCATGTTAGCGACAAGGGCAGATTGAGATGAGACCACACAGATCCCAGATTCCGTCGAAGACCAAAAGTTCAAAAAGGCCAGGGCAAGTAATAACTCTGGCGGGGCTGCAAGGAGATTCTTTGGTTATCGATAAACATCACATGACTGTTGCCAGGGAGACAGTCACGTGGTCGGTACTTCTTCCTTGGATTCCTACTCTACTGACAGCATCGGAGCATAGAATACTTAAGTTAAGCTATTCTACAAGGTCTGTTTCATGACCACGGATTTCATCTTTATTTCGGCTATTGTGAGTCTGCAGAGTGTGTAGGGCCCCATCTTGATCTCCAAGGCTTGGCAATATCAACTTCTTCTGGCGTTCGATCAGGGTTACCCACTTAGCTCAAGAGGTTCTACACTGTGACACTTTCAGTGCTATGTGTTGTCAAGAATCCGACTCGCCAATGTGCGAAGACTCTGGATCCAAGGTCAGCCATAAACGAAACCTCAGCAATGGAACATCTGAGCTCTCGCCACCCAGACGATCCAAACGACAGAAATCCACTACGAATTTGAAAGAACTCTCTTCTCCAGAAGCCTCAGAGTCAGAGGCCGAAAAATTTACTCCTGCAGTGAAAAAAGAGGCTGACGAGAAACCTCTTGTTGATACTGCCAAGGAGAATAAAAAGAAGGCTCCAGTGAAGAAGGCTCCAGTCAAAAAGGAGTCCAACGAAGGCGCCAAACCTACAAAGGTGAGAAAGTCTAAGAAAGATCAAGAACTTGAGAGTATGCCGTTGGCTCCGCGGACTAAGGGTCTGCGTATGTTCGTCGGCGCTCACGTCAGTGCTGCAAAAGGTCAGTGTTCGCAGCACCTCATTGTCTCAATTTGATAATAACCCATTGCTTATCGAGCAGGTGTTTTTAATTCCATACATAATAGCGAGAATATTGGGTAAGTTCGAAGGTCTTGCAAGTACATCCAAGTTTGAAATTGATACTAATCTTACAATTAGAGGAAATGCATTTGCCTTGTTCTTGAAGTCACAACGCAAATGGGAAAACCCAGCTCTCCAGAACGATCATCGCGATCAATTCCGTAAACTTTGCGCAGAAAAGGGTTATGACGCAGCCAAGTGAATATCCCTCATCTAATTAGACCTAAATGGATCACTAACACCTACGACTGCCTAGACACGTTCTCCCTCATGGCTCATATCTTGTCAATCTGGCCCAAGATGATAAAGCCAAATCTAAGCAAGCATATACCTCCTTCCTGGATGATCTCCGCCGGTGCGAGGCACTTGGAATTACACTTTACAACTTCCAGTGAGTCGACTATCTGGCAACCATCTTGGCCCATACTAATATCCCCAAGCCCCGGAAGTACCAATCAGACACCTCTCCCCGAAGCACTTTCCCGCCTAGCAGAGATGTTAGTTCAGGCCATCACCGAAACGACGACCGTAGTTCCCGTCCTGGAAACAATGTGCGGCCATGGCAACACAATTGGTGGCGCACTGTCCGAATTCCGCGACTTGCTAGCTCTAATCCCGAAAGAGCACCACTCCCGCATTGGTATCTGCGTCGACACCTGCCACAGCTTTGCAGCCGGCTACGATCTCACATCCCCAGCGGGATTCAAAGCCTTCCTCGACGAATTCGACGATCTAATTGGAATCAAGTTCCTCCGAGCTCTGCATCTCAATGATTCAAAGGCACCGCGGGGAAGCAAGCGCGACCTGCACGCCAATATCGGCACGGGGTTCCTCGGCCTACGCGCGTTTCACAACGTCATGAACGAGCCGCGATTTGAAGGGCTGCCTATGGTCCTTGAGACGCCTATTGACCGTGTCCCCGGACAGAATGTAGCCACCGGAGACGACACAGCTGATAACAGTGAGAGCGAGTCTGGGAAGAAGAAACAGCCAAAGAAGGGACCCAAGAGACCTGCTGGTGCGGGTGCAGCTGCTGTTCCCGATCCGGGTGTATGGGCGGGTGAGATCAAACTTCTTGAGTCGCTAATTGGGATGGACCCCGAAGGCGAAGAGTTCCGGGCTCTGGAGGCTCGCCTTTCGGAGGAGGGTCGTGCGGAGCGCGCGAAACATCAGGATCAGTATGAGCGTAAGCTTGAGGCGGATGAGAAAAAGAAAGCGAAGGGACAAGGAAAGGCCAAGGGACAGAAGAGTCTTATGGACATGATGAAGGGCGGCGCTGCGAAGGAGTAGACGTTAATTTCTTCTTTAAGCTCAGAGCAGATATAGGTTTGACAATGCGATGGGGAATTCTTGCTAGGTTTCTGTGTACTTTCTACATCATTCTTCAGGCTAAATGATAACGAAGAACAAAATCAATACAACACCTGACGGCTCGCAAAATACAAATCAACAAAGATATATAACTTTTATATAGCGGTTGAAAGTAGGAAATTCAATTGATGGTATCAGTTAAGCCAAAGCCAAAATCCAAAGAAGCCCCTTCATGCGAACAGAAATAAGAAATCGTGTTCTGGTCAATCCAGAGCTCGACCAATTCATATCTGTCAGAGTAGACATGCGATTCAAAGAGCCACACTAGGTTCCCTTCGAGTAGGTCACAGACCCTCCAACATCGAAGATAGTATAGGCGACGTGAAAAGTCATCACATGCATGTGCAATATAGGTAGACGAAGATAAGAGAGGAGTAGTTAAGAATGAGTGTGAAATGCTAGTGCTGGGTGAAATGTTGGCTCCGAATGGGCGAAACAGACGAGCTCGATTGCACGCCCGGCGATGCTTCGTGATCAGGGGCATGTAAGTGAGGGAACCCTGCCTCAGCCATTGTAGTGATAGTCGCAGGTGCCGATTTAAGAGGAGGAAGTGTGTTATCATCTTCTAGAATGATAGAAGTCGAGATTGAAAGACCACGCCTGGCACCACTAGAGCGCACTCGGAATGAGTGCCGTTGGTCACTGGCTGATGATGATTGGGGATCATCGTTGAGGTAACCACCCGGTGCAGGGCTAATGATGCTGGAGTCCTGATGGGCAACCCGGCGATAATCCCCTGGATCGCCACTGCTATGCTCACCTTCGTCGGTGTCAGATGCAGGACTCGACTCGCGACTCGATGAATCATCTTCCGGTACCTCGCTGCGCATTCCTGCAATCTTCATGTAGTTGTACGCTGCAATGCTGCTGATAGTGACGACCAAACCGGTTACATTGACCGTTGTGAGCTTATCGTGGAAGATAATGCCCGCAGCGCTGATTGTGACTACTTCCTTGAAGATACCGCAGATACTCAGTGTGACAACCGAGGAACGCTTCAGAAGCGCAAACTCAGAAGAAATCATGCAGAATGCAAGTACTCCAGGGAAAATCAGAAGGAACGAGCCAAATAGGTTGCCATGTTTGCTAGCGAGCGCTAGGTATCCTTGGTAAATTTCATGAGGACCCTCGATAGATAGCGCTATAGTGATAAGCGAGAGGAACATGATAGGAGTCAGGAGAAAGAGAGTTGAGAATGGGTTTGAGGTAGCCGGGTGGCGAAGCAAGAGAATTTGTGTCAGGCCCCATCGGAAGCCCGAAAAGAACGCGGAAGCAATGACGAGTGCGAAGCCAAGCGCATTGAAAGCTGTCTCTCCAGCGACCATCATCACAACACCTACTGTCATTGTGGCAATGATTATGATTAACTTGGTCGAGGGTGTTTCAAGACGGAAAAGGAAGGCGAATAATAGGACGAAGGCAAGTGCGGACGATTTGCACATAGTTAAGAAAGTCAGGGAGATGAACTTCAAGGACATATTCCCGAGACCAACGTCAAGCGAGGTTGCTGCACCACAGGGAACGAGGCGAGTGAAGTAGAATAACTTAGACATGAGGGGTTGTGGTTCCTCGGTCACATCGATGGGAGATGTAGCCGCAGACCCTGTCGGTTGTTGTGGACGAAGCGATGGAAAGATCCAGAGTATTATAACGGAGAGAGAGAATTGGACAGCCATGTGTAAGCTCGTTGTAAAAAGAGGGAAAGGGAAGACGATATCGCTCTCGGAGAACATCCATTTGTTGTACTGCAAACACGACAATTGTTAGTACCTGCTCGACTTGCAATACACAAAAGAATCACTCACTATTGAAATGGACAGCGAGAAGAGATACCACAGCAAGATCAGCCCGCCGTTGATTAGTAGCTTCTTGACAACGTTTCTATCCGACAGAATCTCGCGAATCGAACCCTGGCCCTTGACGTCTGCGATTCGAGCATCCAACTTGCGGCGCTGCTTTCGCCGTCGACGTCGCTGACGTTTTTGATGTGATGTGAGTCCAGTTTCCTCGTCATATTGGTCATCATCCGAAGTCATCGGGTCCAGCTCCAGAGTCTCTGCAGCGGATAAGACATCGGAGACATCAGTGTCATCTTCGGTGGTCAAAGGTTCCTGTTCTTCGCGTTTGTGATTTCCTCCATCTCCATGCGACCAGGGTGTATCATCTCTGCGCTCTGTCAAAATCGGTTGTGAGGCTCGCCCTGTCCCGGTAAGCATGGAGCTTCGCCGACGGTGGTGGGCGCCGGCGGAGAGCCCCATTCTAATAACTGGGACAGTTACGAGGTAGAATGTAAAAGAGCGTAAACGAGATGGATCTCCATTAACGTGGGAACAAGTTCGTCACACGACAGTGCACGAGGGCTCGGGGTTGAGTTGAGTTGACAGGGGGATATGCTGACAAAGAAACAAAGAGGGGAGCCCTGGAGGAATCGGGTAAGAACCTTGGAAGTGAATCCAAGTAAGTGAACAGCTCCAAAGAAGAAACGAAACAAAAAGGAATAAAAAGGAAATAGAAATGAAAATGAAAATGAAAATGAAAATGAGAGAAAATGGGCCTGAGTCCAAAGGAATTCAAGAATTCAAAAGGAATGGCAAAAATTGGGGGAATTAAAGGGCGGTGATGTGTTTCGCTCATTTTCCTTCAGCTCTCTCTTCTTCTCCTTTCTCATCTTTCCCTTAACTCACCTCTTATTGGTTACACATTTTATATCCGTCTCCACTGTCCGGTCGATCCGGGGTCAAGGGGGAAAAATATGTGGAATAGTTTCGATATTTCGATATTTCGATATTTTGATGTTTTAATATTTCCAAGATTGACTGGGTTGACTGGGTTGAGCGGTTTGAGAGATCTGAGGGATCTTCTCTGGTTTCGATTCTCATTGGTGGACTGAAATCTCCGGTCTTGACTGAGAGATGTATAGGAAGGTCTAACTAACCTCTCTGTGATTATTTCACTTGCCTCAATGGTCTTACATTTGACACGGCTTGTTGTTGACAGAAAGGCTAGACATTTACTTCCCAATATGAGTCTATTGGAGAAACGACAATCTGTTTCTGGTCGAGCTCACCAAGTTTATCTCCTATGAAGAAGAAGCCCTATACCCACTCGGCATAGCCATGACCTCAGATCCAACCATTATCATCATCATGTCGTGGTGTCTCCCACAAGTTCCGGAAATAATATATGTCGGAGGATGCGGATGATAAGTGACAATGCGAGGCATTGCGTCTACCTCTCTGCTTTTCATTTCTTCTTCTTCTTCTTCTTCTCCATCTTCCATCTTATTTGTGTTGATGCTGCAAAATAGCATCTGATATTTATCAAAACCTTCACCGGTATTCGGAACTTGCATCGGATTTCTTTAGCTAGTTCGCTCACCTTGCCATCATGAGTGAACCTGCGTACAATGCCATTGAAGACTACGGTCTGATTGGGGACATGCACACCTGTGCCCTGATTAGCAAGGCCGGTAGTTTGGATTACATGTGCTGGCCAGTCTTTGACTCTCCTACCGTTTTCTGTCGCCTGCTAGACGCCAGAAAAGGAGGTTTCTTCTCCGTGAAGCCCTACAAGACGGTGGTAGATGCCCACAGTAAGCAGCGGTATCTTCCATACTCGAACCTGCTTGAAACCAGATGGACCAACGAGGATGGTGTCGCGACATTGCTGGACTACTTCCCCGTCACACCCAAAAAGGGTGCGCAGTCGTCCCGGTTGCTGTCGGGATACTGTCCTTGCAATGAACCGGGGACCAATCGCTTCAAATCGGGACTGCAGCACTCAGGCCTGATCAGAAAGCTGGAGTGTAGCCGTGGCTCGATGGAATTGCAAGTGCAGCTATTCCCAGCTTTTAACTATGCGCGTGACTCGCACAACACCCGTGCAAAGCTGGAAAACGACATGTCCAAGCACCGGCTGCAGACCGTCCACTTTGAGAGTGAGTCAGAGCGGCTGCAAGTCGAGATCTTTGCCGATTCACGAGAGCCAGATAAGCTTGGTTTCCCCCCGGCGTCTTTGAAACTGGAAGAACGAGATGGTCTTCGTGGACGCGGATTGGTGGCCTGGATCCGTCTGTCGGAGGGTCAAACCATTCATCTGGTGTTGCACAGTCCCGAGAAGGCTGTCCCCAGCTCGGCGACCATGGCAGCCTACCTCTTGAAAATGGAGGAGGAAACTTCTGACTATTGGACCGATTGGACACGCAAGTGTGCTTTCCGTGGTCATTACCGGGAGACAGTTGAGCGCAGTCTCCTCATCCTGAAGCTGTTGACCTACAAGCCGACCGGTGCAATTGTCGCGGCGCCCACTTTCTCGCTCCCCGAAAATGTGGGAGGTGCTAGGAACTGGGATTATCGATACTCCTGGGTGCGTGACACAGCCTTCACGTTGTATGTCTTTCTCAAAATGGGATACAGCCAAGAAGCGGAAGCATATGTCAACTTCATCTTCGAGCGGGTCTTCCCGCATGCTTCTCAGGACCTTGATCCCAACAGCAAAAAGCCCTTCTTGCCGCTGATGTTCACTATCCGGGGTGAATACGACATTCCCGAGGTGGAACTGGACCACCTCGAAGGGTACAAAGGCAGCAAGCCCGTTCGCATTGGCAATGCTGCTGTCTTCCACACGCAGCTGGATATCTACGGCGAATTGTTGGACAGTATCTACCTGTACAACAAGCACGGAAACCCCATAACCTATGACCAATGGAACTCCATTCGGCGTATGATCAACTACGTTGTCGGTGTTCGGAACCAGAAGGATATGTCCATTTGGGAATCGCGTGGCCAGATCCAAAACTTTATCTATTCGAAGATCATGATGTGGGTGGCCCTGGATCGCGGAATCCGCCTTGCGGAGAAGCGTGCTAGCCTGCCATGCCCCGATCGCTTTGAATGGATCAGGGTCCGTGACGAGATGTACGATGAAATCATGACCAAGGGGTACAACGAAGAGCGTGGCCATTTCTGCCAGAGTTATGAGAGTCCCGAGGTCCTAGATGCGTCTATCTTGATTGCACCCTTGGTCTTCTTCGTTGCTCCCAATGATCCGCGATTTATCAGCACGCTGAAAAGGATTTTGCAAAGCCCCGAGAAGGAGGGTCTGTCCAGCGCCAAGATGGTGTTCCGATATGACCACCAGAAGGCCAATGATGGTAGGCATATCTTGTGCTCTTAGAACCTTGGGTTATTAAAACTCTAGAACAAGTACTAATACTCGCGTTACACAGGTATGACCGGAGGCGAAGGTGCCTTCATCATGGTAACCTTCTGGCTTGTCGAAGCCATGGCTCGTGTAGGTTTTATGGAACTACCCCAAAAGGAAACATTGGACTTTGCTAATCGGGGCTGAAATTGGATATTCAGGCTGCCAAATACGATGTGCCTATTCCAAATATCTGGAAACTTGCGCTTTCGCACTTTGATAACATCCTGTCCTACGCGAATCATCTGGGAATGTTTTCTGAAGAAGTGGCCATTTCTGGTGAGCAGATGGGCAACTCCCCACAGGCCTTCAGTCACCTAGCCTGTATCAGTGCTGCAATTAATCTGGGGAGAATTGGACGAGTTGGTGACTAGACTCATCTCTCGTTCAAGTCGGTGGCAGCTATAGACTGACTATGACACTGTTGTTTTTGGGAGAAAAGAATTGTTCGATGCAGTTCTATAATTTTGGCTTACAGTTAGAAAACGAAATACAAATTTGTTCCCTTTTGGTTAAGTCACAACTCATAGGCAATATAGTAAATATAGTAAATATATTCTACTCAGTCAATCTACCCTTCGTGTCCTAATTAACTATCCAGGCCCAGTCCTGGAGGTGAAGACAACTGCTTATGTAACGGAACAGATGATCACCCGGGAGCTCTAGGGCGGCTACCCCAGATTCCCTTTATCATCATCTTTGCCTGTCTTTGTGCAAAACAAACATATCTGAACAAAGGAATTGCCGGGGTGTGTTTCTCTTCAGCTTCTAGCTGGAGATGTTCCTCGCCACCAACCCATCGTGTCTTATTACCCCCGTGATATTACAGGAATCCCCACTTGTCTAATGGCAGGCGCCAGCTTGGATTGGGCTGATAAGCCTAACACCGATCTCGCCTTATCATCGGATGAAGAGGGCTTGGTCTCCAGCCCAAGTACTACTTCAAGGGAGCTTGAAGGCGCTGCCAAGCAAAATCTAACACTAACTTTGGGGAATCTGCGCTTGGAGCAAGAGGGCTTCAATCAATCCTCCGAACAGGACGCGACTCCAACAACTCCCCGCACCGAAGGCCCAAATCAAACCCCCCCAGAACTGGAAATGGCCAACAACCCTCTGCAGCTGCTGGATCTACCTTTGGACATTTTGAAAGAGATCATCAAAGAGGTATCACAGATCTTCCCCGCCGATCGTGAACAGATAGCTTACAGTTCTGGTGTACAATAGGTGACCCATACGACTGACCTGACCTCACTCGCTCTTACTTGCTCCGCTCTTCATTCCTTGGCTATTCCGCACATGTACTCCCGTTTCGACATCGTCTGGCCTGAGTCGCTGAACCCATCAACGGATGACTACTCGGGGGTGGATGCTCTGTCTTATGGTCTTTCCACATTGGTCATGGGCGAGGATGTATTCAATCGGCTGCCACTGTTCCCATCTGACCAAGCCAAAAGTAGCTGTGTGAATTGTGGTTGTGATAACCTCCATCATCAGCCGAACTCGGACCCTGGGGACAACGGAGTTCGCCTCCGGTCGAGACGAGGCAATCACTATGCACAGTATACCCGCACATTCTCTATTGGAAATGGCCCGCTCAGCTGGGTACAAGAATACTCGGTGACTAAAGAAGTGGGTAAGATGCTAGGGACGCTGGTCGCTTTAGCAGTTGCACGGATGGTGAATCTCGAAGCCTTCATTTGGGACATGCCCACCGGAGTAGTCCGCGAAATTTGGCTGGCGCTTGCGTCATTGGCAGATCGGCCAGGGCAAGACTGTCGCCTGGAGCGTGTTTGGGTGCGCTGGCATGACAATTCAGAGAATGCTTTGCGCAGTTCGTCAGCAGCGGCAACGAGGCTCTTCCAAAAATACAAACACGTGGAACATCCTTCCTTGTCGGTATTGCCTCCACTCAAGAACGTAGCTGTTCTTGACATCGATGAACCCGCTTATGTGGAGGAGCTGGCACTTCTCATTGATCGGTCACGTCACCGTCTATCCGAACTCCGAATTGGCATTGCCGAAAAGGCATATATGAGTGCGTGGCTGCTTTGTGGGAAGGAGTCTGATGGTTCAACAAGCTGGCCTAGAGCCGACGGTGTACTTGGTATCTTGACAAGACGGCATTTAGACAACAAGCAAGATAATGCCATCATCGCCTCGCCCGATGATGATAAGTCGCTGTCATCTGAGAGTGCGATAAGCAAGTCACTAAACTCTACTGAGAGCACAGTCCCATTGACTACAAATGAAGAGCAGCAGTCTCCCAACACCACCAAGGACAAGAAGTCCCCACCAAGCTCTGGTTTGCCCAAACGGAGTGCCCGCTCACCGCTACCTTCCTATGAATCTGACAGTGAAATACTTTGCCTCAAAGTACTCGAGCTTGAACGCGTACCTCTTTCTGTGCCAACGCTATTGCCGGCTGTTGACTGGACTGGACTGACTACTCTCACCATCATGCGATGCGAGGATCATGAAAAGCTGTGGAGGGCTCTCCGTCGCAAGTATGCTCCTCCTGTGATGCCGACAAAACGTCCACAGGATGCAGAGCGTCGAGCAAGTGTTAGCTCAGTTGAATACTCGCTAAATTTGAAGCATATTCGCACGGACACTGTTTCGCCTTATCTCATACTGTTTATCAAGGATGCGCTGGCTCCAAATACCCTGGAAAGTGTTTATTTGCACGAAGCCCCAGGTCACGAATCTGCTGTGCAGATTGATGCCATTTACCGGCATATTCTGCGAAAGCACAGGCAGAGTCTGCGAAAGGTGTTGATTGACGCCACTGACCGTATAATTGGCACCGGATATTCACGTACACGATGGCACAAGTGGATGTTCAACCATGACATGGTATCATTCGTCACGAGTGGAAAGATGCCGCAGTTGAAAGAGCTGGGAATGGCGATGCACTATCGCGATTGGGTAAGAGAACGGCCACCATTATTGGATTTTGGACCTAACCTCAGGGCTAATAACGACTCCGCAGCATTTCTTCCTACAGAGATTGCCGAATATGCCCCAGCTTCGTGCTCTGTATTTACCACACATTCACCAAGCCGTCCACCGCTACTTGAAAGAGCTTGCGCTGCAAGTTTTGGACATCGTCAGCATACGCCCAGACCTGAAGATCGCCTACATTGGTCTGCACATCAAATGCTACCAGATTCTCGAAGCAAGACATGACGATAACCCACTAGATTTCGACGACCACCCGGCGATTGATCATTCCCCAACGCACAGCGAAGATGAGGATGAAGGGTGGGCTAACCCCAACCACGCATCCGATGAAGACAGCGATGATTCCGACGAAGATGGCTCGGGGGCCGCTGACACAGATCTCCTTTCCAGTGACCCGGACGACTATGACACTGAGCCCGACGAAGAACAAGGTGCTTCACGGATTCGGTACCGACTACAGGAGATTCTATTTTACGACGAAAAAGTATCTATTTTCAAGGCGCGTCATGGTGTTTTGTGATCTTATCTTGGCTTGCATTCTATATGCGCAGGTGCCATTTGCGGCGTTTAAGGGGGGAACAGAGAGTTTACACGAGATACCATGGCTGTTTAGTTTAGGACTAAGGTTATTTTTTGTCAACCTTGGAATGTCACTTTTTTGAGTTTAAGGTTATGTTGAGTGGGTCACTCTAAGTGGGTCACGGTTGGTAGCGTGGTACCTACATAGTACACTGTACCTAGTATGTACCTTACCTAGGTAGGTAGCCATGGGGGATTTATATGTAATCCTCCAGCTCTAGTACTCTAGTACTACTGCAAATAGTCAAGTGGCACAATTTACTTGGAACAACTAGCCTTCAATCTCAATCTCAAATGACATGGCCTAACGCCCACCGATAAAAGGACGATTGTAAATCGTATCTCACTGTTCAAATGGTCGATAGTCGGGAGATAGCCATAGAGTCTAGTTGTTGTGAGCACTAACTATCCACCCATCTCTAAACTCGATCTCTGTCGGGGCTCGCCGTGGTTGCTGGAATCCAAACCGCTTCAATACTTACTGGAAACCGTTGATGGTCAACAAGGTTGAGAGCATCTCATCATTATCACTTGGAAACAAAAATAGTCATCAGGAAACATTTCGCGAGATGGGATTCTTTGCGTTTTAGTGTATATTTGACGCTCAAGCTCCCGTGCACAGAAAGGCTTTAGTTGGTGAGGTAGAACAACTTTAATTATACTTCCATTTGTGTAGAAATTGATATGTAAAAGCTATATAGACAATTTCTAAAATATAGCAATACACATTTTATGTTGTAGCTCATTATTCAGGGTTGTCGCAATCAAGTTACGGTTTCGTAGATCTCGGTTCGGAACTCGGGGCAAGTAGGTACCAGGTTGGTGACCAATTATTTGTTTTCCACTCATGTAAGTCATAATATCGTAGAATTTCTTTGTTTATGCTAAGCAAATTAAAACAATGGGTATTGGAGAGCGTGCGCTAGTGTTCAATTTATATATTCATGGCGGGACAGATTGGTTCAGGCAAACTCCTGATGCACATTCTCATACTGGGCACGAATCAGTTCGGCCTCAATCACGCGCCTCTTAGCCTTTTCTTCTTCGCTGGAGTTGTCTTTGAACACATGGTCCATCTGCTCGAGAGTTCGGCCCTTGGTTTCTGGCACAAAAAAGTAAGTCCACACTCCAGCGAGCAAGCAAAAGACGGCGAAGAAGACGTAAGCACCGTAGCCGGTGTCTTGGACCAGAGGCGGGGTGATGAGACCCTATAGAGATAATTAGCATGCTTGAAACACCGAGTGACCAGATAATGGTAATGAGAAACGTACAATGATGAAGTTGTTGAGCCAGTTGGAGCAAGTTGAAAGAGCAACACCCTTGGCACGAAGGGAAGAAGGGAAGATTTCTGGATATGTCAGTTTGAGACCTGATTAATAAGAGAAACAGAGAAAGGCACGTACCGGAAGGCATAGCCCACGGGATAGGACCCCAGGTAGCCCCAAAGGCAAGCATGTAGAATAGTAGAAAGGCCACACTGGTCCAACCTTCTGCTTTGTGGGACGGCCAATCAACAGAGTAGATCCCGACCAAAGCGGCAATAATAATGTGAGATATGGCCATAAGGGCTGCACCACCTAGAAGCAACTTGCGGCGACCAACAACATCCATGGTCCAGATACTGGTAGTGACACCCACCAACTGTACAACGTTGAGAACGCCAGACATGATAAGTTGCATGCTCGTGTCGAGACCCATCGTTGCAAAGAGGGTTGGAGAGTAGTAAATAAGAGCGTTGATACCAATAAACTATTCATATGATTAATGTGTGTCGGTTATCTCCACATACAAAGAACTCACCTGTTGAAAGAATCCTAATCCAATGCCGATGTGAGTACGACGCCAGCAACCCTTCCTGAAGCAATCGGCCCAAGACGAAAGCTCCTGCAGAATGGAGTTCTTTGTGCCGCCACCTTGTAGATCTGGATGATTTTCCCTGTTCATTTGCTGGTGGAAGCGCACTTCGGCCTGGATATCCATAAGCTCCTGGCGAACGCGTCTGTCGGAAGCTGGCAGGGAACGAAGTCGGCAAAGACTGTCAAGAGCTTCCTCATCGCGACCCTTTGAAGCCAGCCAACGGGGTGAGAAGGGAAGAGCGTATACACCAGCAGCGAGGACAAAGCCTGGGATCAATTGGAGCAGAAAAGGGAGGCGCCAGGCCCATTCACCGACCATGTATCGCGTGCCATAGGTAATCCAAAAGGCAATCACAATTCCGAGGACAATGCACCATTCTTCAAGAACCAAGAGGGTTCCACGACATTCAGGGGGACCTAATAAGAGAGATTAAAATAAGAATTTATATCACATGCATGCGTGGGGAAGGAGAGGGGGAAAACCCCTCCGAGTAGGAGGACATACTGATTTCAGAGATGTACAATGGTGCAACCATAGACAACATTCCGATTCCGACACCACCAATCAGCCGAGCCACCGTCAACATAGGATAGCCATAGGCAGCAGTCTGAAGCACAGAGCCAAGAGTGAAGATAGCAACAGCGACAAGAATTGAATACCGTCGCGAGATCTTATCCGCAATCCAACCCTGGTTGAGGGCACCAATCAAAGCACCCAGCTCAATCATCGCCGTCAACAATCCTTTTGCAAAGCCTGAGCCAGGATTACCCTCGTCTATCCGCGGGAATTCTGTCAAGAACTGATCCATGACTAGAATCACTGACACAACACCTTGGTCATAACCAAAGAGCAACCCACCCAGTGTTGAGCAGGCGGCACAGAGGACCACAAATGGGTTGGCTGCGAGACCGCGCAGACCGGGTGGGCCATAGGGCTCACGGTCCGAGGCAATGTCATTGGCATGGTGAGAGAAGCCTTCTACCGCTGGATCATGGGATAGTTCTTTCGTAGCGGGGATATCATCAACCATTTTGAATGGAGATTGAGAGACAATTTGAAAAAACTCGAAGATTATGTTTCTCGATTAAAGCGGTAAACGCTCTGATATTTAAACCCCCTACCCCGGAAGCCCTCCGATATTTATACCCATTTTCCCCAGTTACTATGGGGTAGTATACAAGGTTTGTCCCCTCCGTGAATCGGGACCGATAGGAAGTTGGGGGGTTACCAGCCAGGAAAGCCAATGAGGACAAAGACGTGGGATGCAAGTCGGGGTAGATGACGGAGTGGTAGACGGTTCGGCCAGTGGGTTTGGGGAAGATCGGCGCTATTGCGATTGTGGGGAAAACACGGAGAAGAAACATAATACCACGTCGTCCATTGGTGGCGGCTATTGGCATTGTTCATAGACGTTTCAACTTCCTCTTGGGTCTATACTCGGCCTTTGAGAAATAAGGCTCAACTCTGTGTCTGGCCAGACTGGGCATGCATACCAAATAGGCATAGGTCAAGTCATGAAAGATAGACTCATTCTTGCAACATTATAGGGGCATATATCTAGATCCATTTGGCTTTGAGTTATATATATGTTACTATAACTCTATTCAGTGTTGGTACAAGCTTACCCTGTCGTTTATATTTGTGCGTATAGATATATAGATATATAGATATGCCTACTCCGTAGTTCAAGTAGCCATATGATCACTACCACGGGATGCTCCAGATGACGAGACCTGACAAGTTCACGGGTACTTCGGGCCGGACATGCATTCGGAAAGTCAAGTGACTATAAGCCGATCTATCCCGTGATGGTAGCTAGTGTAGTTCGTGTATACTCTATAGGTGTACCCCGTAGGGATAAGACATAGTGATCCCTTCATCTGACTGAATGAATAACACATAGGTAGAATACAAATATTGTAGTTAATATCCACACTACATTCCCCACGGGGGGAGAATGGGACTTTTCCCAAATCCACCATTTTGATCAACATCGGAATTCATTGTCCACTTGTCCACCTAAGCGGTGTCCATTCCGGTAACCATTTTCCCACGGATTCCAGTTCCCGGCCACCCCCACCTTACAACCTGCAACCTTCGGATTTCCAACTTCATTTTTGAAATCATGGCTTCCTTCATGGAAGACCTGTGGTCTAGCATCTTCACCCCAGGACCCACCCCGACCCTCTTGATCGCGACCAACGTCACCTTCGCCGCACTCCAGCTTGTCTTCTTCGCCCTCCTCCTATCCACCTATAGCCTCCACTTTGTCGCCTTATCCATCATCAGTGGTGGATTATGGTGGTCCATCAACTGGTTCGCCGCTGAAGTGCGACTTGCCCAGCTGGCGCAGGAGACTGAGAAAGAAAAACAAGAGGAGGCTGACGCGAATACGCGGAAGAGTCCCGCCGTAGGAGAAAGCGCTGACAGCGACACGGAGACTGAAGCCCTCGACGTTAAGAAGGCAGATGACAAGTCTAGTGCTGTCGCGACCGGGAGTGCATCGTCCGGATTGCTGCCCACAGCGCGTGATCCTAAGAAGCGACCCAGCACGCGTGGTGAGGGGTCCGGGTATGGGAGCACTGATAGCGAGTGGGAGAAGGTTGATGATACTCAGTCTTGAGGGATACTTGGCACTCAAGGATACACGCACACCTTGCTTCGAAATATCTACACTGTCGCCTCGGTAGAACACGGTTGCACACATGCATGCTTACCAGGTCCCGGACCTCTCAACGAACAAGTGTAGGACGCGTTTATGGTGATACAAACTTTGTGTCGACCTTTTGCGTACCTTGGCTGGGATCTGGATTTGATTTTGGATTTGAATTCGTATATACGCAATGCCCTCTTGTCTGTTTGTTTCGGAGCGATACCCCATACTATGTAGATGGTGCAATTTACAGCAGCTCGCGCTTGATTTTGATTTTGTCGGGGGCTTCAAGACCCTCCTCTCTGAATACACCTGTTAACAATAACATTCAAACCTATCCCATCGACTGTACAAACCAAAGTAAACAGAACCGGTGGAGTTGAAGCTTCAAAACATCCACGTGACCTTCCTGCAATCCAAACATTGAAGTT